CTTGTGTGACCTTGGGAGGAAGGTCTTAAAAAAGGGGGTTTAAAAAAAATGTTTTTAGTTTGCCTTTTTTTTTTTTTTAACATTTTTTCTTTGCTTTCCATATCATGTTTCTTAACAGTTCTAGTGACAGGCATTGCCTTTCAGAATCTGCTCAGATCCTCATGGAAGCAGCAACTGAGACTGAAGAAAAACTGGCTCTATCGGGTTAATCTAGGATTTCCAAACTGAGTTGAGATCAAAAAAGAAGCCCAAGATTTCCCAGTGAATGGGGATCCTGGTTTTAGTCATACAAAGCTCTTCCCTCACCCACCCCAGCCTGACGCCTCTGAAATGCAGAAAGCTGTCACTTCGGAGATAAACCCCTAATCCACCTGTGTCCTTGGCCTTCTCCGTGTTCCGTGGGCAGATCTTTTTGGTGTGGATATTTCCTATCGCTTATTCTCCGCGCTACCTTTGTGTCCTAAGCTGATCGCTTTAACCGATGCGTTTCTCGTCTTCCAGATTCGACGAAGACGTCCAGACGGCTCCGCTCCGCGCTGTGCTTTGAGAGCAGCCCCTGGTGAAGCTCCTCTCCAGGTAATCCCCGGGAACGGCGGCACATGTGTGCCGTAAACCAGGAGCATTGCGACTGTGTTCACCCAGTCAAAGCGCCTGTGAGTGCTTGCTCCTAGTCAGCAGTAACCTCGTTTGGTATTTTTCTTGTTCTTAGGACCGTTTCTTGCTCTTGCTGCTCATGTACATGGGGTGGGGTGGGGCAGCCGGAAAGGCACGTGTTTATCAAAAACAAAAAAACAAAAAAGAAGGAGCTGCCCTTCCCTCCTCCCAGGCTTAGTTATGCAGAACCCCCTTTACCCTCTCAGTTTGCCACTTACTGTAATTCTCCTACTCCCTGTTTCACCTCTAAGCCAGGAGCTTCTTGCTGGTAAAGATGGTGCCTTAATCATTTTTTTAACCGCCAGCGTCTGACATGGTGCTTAAAGAAAGTTGTTGAAATGCTTGAATGAACTGATAACAGAAAACTTTGAACAATTATATTGCTGCTGTCTATATATAAAATCATGAAGTCCACCCTCAAGGATTCCATCGAGTTTCGATTTTGCACGTTTGCAGTTTTCACTAGTGTGATCTTGCTTTCCAAGCAAGCTACCATCTTGACTTGGCTATTCTGATCAATGAGCACATGACGGTGCATCCTTTCCGTTGGTTGTATACGCATTGTACCTTCGCCCTGGAGAAAGAGGAGCCACGCTGGAGGGAGACTGGGCGTGTTCTGATGAGGCTGACTGTCTCAGAGCTGACGGTGGTTCTCACCCTGAGAGCTCTTCCCGTCACCCACCCCGTGTGTTTCAGTCTAAGTGCTAGCCAGTTGGTGAATGAGATTTTGGAAAAGTTCCAAGCTATGGTTAATTATGTGCTTTTTCGAAGTTCCACTGTCTTTGCTCTCTTCATGGATGCCTTTTCTCTGTTTAGTAAATGGTTCGTTTTGCTTTTTTTGCACGTCTACCCTTATTTACAGTTTTCTTTCATAAAAAAGATGCATAATATAGTATCAAGACAAATTGCATGCTGCATTAGATTTGCTCGAAGGTTTTAAAGAGGCAGTGAGATAACATATGCAACAGCACTCTGAAAACTATAAAGAATCCTACATTCTTTATAAAGGAATCTATCATTTATTATTACTCATTTTGCTTCTTAAGAAACACACGGGAATGTCTGACTCTTGAACCTGTGACATGAATCAACTCTGCATTTTTTTTGTGGTGTTTTCATGGGCTGTTTTCGTCTTTTTGTGCTGTGTACAAGAGGGCTGGTCTGTCTGTATGTATATATGTGTGCTTTCTAAAGATTTCCAGGGTTTTTTCCCCCCTTTACAATTCATTTCTTTCACTTCGGTTTTGCTTGTTCATGACTACAGAGAATACACTTTATGGTAAAGCTGATACTTCAGCTCTAAAAATGACATGTCTGTGGGATCTGGGGAGGGGGCTCAGGAAAAAGAACAAGTAGAGGAAAAAATTAAATAGTTCCCAAAGAGCATTTTACTTACTGAAATATAATCCCAACGGAAATTGCCACAATGCAAAAGGCTTGGAAAAGGAACTCTTGGTGTCAGATACATGTAAGCCATGGTCAGAGGAACGAAGAAATCAGAGAGTTGTGGATCATATCAATTGCTGTGTTTGGAGACACTTCATGGGTGAATTCTGAAATTGAGCCCTCTGTTGGATGGACACTTTGGCAGCCTCAGGATGATTGATCCACTGAAGACAAAGAGGAAAATGCTGTGATGGGTATGCTAAGAGTTTGCTTCCTGGGGGAGGTAGGCAGCCTCATGCTTCCTAACTTTTCGTTGCAATTGCGAAGCCCACCTAGGAAGACAGAGGTTTGAATTATTAAAGAAACTGCGTTTCCTAGTCTTGAAGCAGAATTCTCAATATTCTGCAAGTTTTACATCATCTTGTTTAGAAATGGACATTTTTCAGTCCTATTTGGAGACAGAAAGAAAGATAATTAGCCCAGGAATGAGGAAGGTCCTCCATGACACTAAAACTCAGTTGAATGTCTTAAGGTGTAACTTAAGAATTGGTGATTTGTTCTTTGAACAGCTGGCCTGCTCTTTGACATTATGTCAGTCCCAAGATAACCTGTGGGAGAAACTTAGTGGTGGTTAATATTTTAAATCTTTTTGTCTAGATAAGCTGGTATAATGATAATTAAATTTTCATACTCACATGTGAAACTTTTTCTTTTCTCAAAATATCCTATTTTTATATTATGACATGAATTGAATCTTTTTCTAAACATAAGAATAAAGCATGTGCTACAGCGTGGAGGAGTAAGTGTTTCACTTTGTTCTTTCCTGGATGACACTCTCGCTGATGGCCAAGGGTGAGTGCTTTAGAACAACACAGGTTGGAGATAAGTGGTGTCTTCGCCATTTTTCTAGCTGTGAAATCTTGGCAAGCTATTTAGCATCTTCAAGTTACAGTTTCCCAACCTGTAAAGGGGGAATTACAATACAGCCCATCTTTCGAGCTTGTTATCCTGATGAAATGAGGAAATAGTATATGGAGTAGTGTCAGGACCACAACAGATACCTTAAAAATTTTGGTTTTTCCTGTTATTCCACCAACTCTGTAGAGGATACCATGCAAAAAGGTAGTAATTTGGCTCAAAAGCTGTGGGCTTTTGCCAAAGTTGGTAAGATACATCCAAGTAGAACCTTTTATTTGTGTGATGATAAATCTGTGAGTATATTTTGACCCCAATTTTCTCTGGATTGGAAGTGAGGCCTAGCAGTACATAAATTCCAAGAGGAGTACAAGTGTGACAAGGGTCTTCCTTCTGCTTTGACTGAAGTGCTCACTAGTGCCTGCTAATGAGAGAAGCTGAGGTCAGAAGCCAAATGAGGACACTCTCAGGGTAAGAAATGGGAAGGGTCAAAAAGCCAAGGTCAAAAATCAGGGATCCAGGTCAGATCATGACAGTGGACTACCCAGGGTCGAGAATCGGGGGGCCACAAGTGGAAGGCACATTTTCTCACATAGAAGAGAAATGAGCACGAATTGTCACAGTTGAGGATGAATTAAAACAGTGTGTTACTGGGGAGGGTATAGCTTAGTGGTCAAGTGTGTGCCTAGCATGCATGAGGTCCTGGGTTCAATCCCCAGTACCTCCATTAAATAAATGAATAAGCAAACCTAATTATCCTCCCCCCCAAAAAAACCCAAAAAACAAACAAAACCCAGTGTGTCCCTTGACATCCATCAGAATACCATCAGAAGAGTTTCCTTTGGAGTGCAAGCAAAAAATTAATCTGAAGCCTAAATTTTTTTTGATGTCAGATAATGGAAAAATACTGCTTTCAAAGCAATATGCCTATATAATAGGAATATATTTGTCTGATGGAATGGGAACTGGGGATAAGATCCTGCTATAAGTCATAGTTAAAGTCAAGGGATCCTTTGTCAAGATAGGGAGTCCTTGGTTGATACATGATGCTTGTTGGCCTCGTGTGAACAAATGGCACAGTTCAGCTTTGGGTCTGAGTCGCTCATTTATTCACTCACTTGTATATTCATCCATCTGTTACTTACTTTGTGTCTGTTGGAGACTGTGAGCATGCCCTGATCTTTTCCTGGCCAATGTTTCATGTTCACCACAGTACATTGACATGTTTGTCCTGCTTTGTTTCATTTATTTTGTTTGCCACCAAAACAGAGAGGCTTTCTCTGTCCACACAGCCGCGGGACCCCTGGTGGTCAGCGTGTGATTTTCCTGCTGTCCTCTGTGATGCAGATCTTCTCCACCAAACATTCAGAAGGATCTTTGTGACATAGGCACCACAGATGCCTAAAACTCTTGGTTCACTTCCCCTTGGTCTCCGGAGACACTCTGACCTCTTCTCTTGGACTTAAAACAGTCCTGCACAATTTTACTCTTTCTTATCTCTCCAGCCCCATGAGACACCTTACTCCTGCTCACTCACCACTCTCTGGTCAGCACGAGCGTCTTTTTCTTCCTGCAATATCCCAGCCTCTCTTCCACCTGAGAATCTGTGTCTTGTGGCTCTTTGTGTCTCACAAAGGGGACCTGTTCTCATCCCTCATGTCTCAGCTCAGATATTACCCAATTAGAGAGAGGGCTTTTTGACCAACCTGCGTTACTCTGTCACCACAGCATGTATTGTCTTTGTGGCACTCATCAGAATCTACTGTGTTTATTGATTTAATTACATGAATGTGACCTCTTTTGACCCTGTTAGCGTGTATACTCCGTAAGATAAAAGACCTTTTCTGTCTTGACTGTGAGTGAGTCTATTCCTTGGAATCAGAAAAAAAAAAAAAGTGATTAATAATTGGTAGGTGCTCAATAATGTTTTTTTAAACAAATAAGCATAGCCTGATTTTAATGTATCCATCATCACCTTATTATCGTTGCACTGTCAAAGTCCGTGATCTTCCTTTGTCCTTTGACTTCCTCAGTGTTTATTGAGGACTTACAATGTGACAGGAACTTAGACCACGGGGACATACAGATGAATACAGACTTGTTTCCTTCCCTTTGTGGTAAGGCTAACAAGTATGTTGCCACTTGCCTTGGTGAATTCCTAGGTTGCTGTGTGTAGAAGGATTCCAAGGCTGTGTCTCAACACAGTAAAGGATGCCAGCAGCACAGAAGAGAGAAGAGGAAAGACTCCGGTCATAGATGAGCCATTCTTGATTGACTAACAGAACCAGCACATTTTCCAAATACCTGTCTTGTGGGGAAAAAAAATGGCTTTTGGTAAATCCCTTTATGTGCCATGACACCTTGAGCCGTGGACTGTTTTTGCACAGGCAGAAATCACTCTGCTCCTTCCCCACCCTTGTCCCCATCCCGCTACTGCACGTGGCCCCTGCACCTTGTGATCATTCCTCCTATCGCAACGAAGGGCTCTCCCTCAGGGATTCGTCCTCTGACTACCTCCCCACCTTCCCCTGACTAGGCTAATGCTGTCCTACACTTTCCTGGCCCCCTGGATGTCCCTTTATAGCACTTAGCATTGTTGTCGTTGTTCACGGATCTGTGTC